TAATCACATATTTTTAACTTTATTATTTTTTCTTAAAAAATGTCCATTTGTAAGCTCTCATCAACAAAATTGTTATGCAATGTGCCGGAAAAGTTTAATTTAAATCAAATTTTCTTCCAAAAAGCTTATTTTCCCATAACTTAATAGATGTTGAAGTTAAATTATAAATTCCTGAAATCTCTTTTTTAAAATAAAAATAAAAATAAAAATTGAGGGTGATACAAATTCTATGTTTTTTTAAATACTTGATGGTACACCTATCGATATTTATATTTATAGTAAATACATTTTTATATGAAATGAACGTTTCGACTTAAACTATAAGCTCGTTATTTAACATTTAAAACCGGGCCCCCCTGTTTCAAATTCCTAGGTCCGTCACTGGGTGTTTATGTATCGCTTTATACAATTACAATTACTGTTATTTTTTGTAGTTTCTCATTTTTTTCTGTGTATCGATCATGCTATTTTATAAAGTGCCAATGTTTCTTGAAACATGGAATTCTGGTAGATGAGCATCTACCTCCACTGTAAGTTTCTTTGATCTTTAATTTGTTTACATACGGGAACGGGCAACTATCGCCTGTTTACGCCACATTCTTTTTGTTAATTGCAAGATTTGATTAAGAAAATAATTGATCTCTCTTCACTATGTACATGGCATGCAAAATGCTTTTTGTTGTGTTATGGTATATTGCCCTTTCCGTGCTACTTATTCATTTACAATCTTCTATTAATCACATCTCTCATTGCAGGACCTGTCAATGCTGAACAGAGATCCCGCAAAGGTGCTATACATTAGTGGCCATGCTCTAGAAAGTAGTCTTCAGTCCGAGAATGGTGTTCCAATAAAAGCATGGCAAGGGGAAGCAGATGACACTGCACTTCTTGATCTTATTCCATTCCTGGAATGTAAGCATTCAATATGTATTTCAATGCTTGGAAATTCACTTCGTGAATACAGAGTAATGTTTTGCAAAGTTTCTAGTTAAATACGTAAAGGCATTTTTCATTTCAGATGTTGCCAAACACCGGCCATCTGATATTCGAACTGTTCTAGCTTCTTATCAAGGCCGTGATATAGCAAAAGAGTTCATTGAACGGTCAAAAGAGCATCAGAGGTTTGTTTCTTTTTTAGATCTATCTGCTTGGTACTTTTATTCCTGTTTTTCGAAATGCCGATTTTAACCCCTCTCAATGGCTGTCACTCTGTGTGTGTGTCTTATTTTGATCTGGAGTACTTGTTAAAGAAAGACACGAAAACTTCCATAGTACACAGGAGAATTAATAAGAACTTTGAGGCTTACATCATCTTAAGAAAAGACATTTTTCCACGGGCATTTTTCCTCGGTGAATTAGTACAAACTTTGTTATATTCCTATTGATTGCTCTTATTCCAACACAAAATTTTCATCGTGCACAGGAGAATGCTGGAGCAAAAGCAACAAGGCCGTCTCTGGAGACGTTAGGAGTATCAAGTGTACAAGTTGTTATAAATGACATGCAGTCATTTTCAATTCTCTATGTTTTCCATCAGTAATGAAGTATTTTTTCCTTCAATTAGCCATGTTCCTTGGATAACTTGCAGCTGGACGAGATGGTATTAAATTTTGGCAGTGAGAGTGAGAGCAAAATGATTGGTCTGTTATTCGGTGAACTGATGTCTATCCTGTCCTTGGTTTGCATGGTTTATGTGGAGTTTTCGTGGGGAATTTTTGCAATTTTGGTAGATGGTTGTTATTTTCTTTTTAACAGAAACTAAGCGTTGTTGACAAGGTGCTTCTTTGTTAATAATTCTCCAGATTTGGAGATATGCTGATGATGTCTACGTTTCGTACTGTGTCTCTTTAAGGACCCCAAATCCCCACATATTATAGGCTGAATGGGGTTTTGCTTCGTAGTTTGTTCAGTGACTGATCACTGTTTTCCGTGAATACATGGGGGTATAGTTTGAGATTTTTTTCTGTTGAAGTTGAATTTGATTTTCCAATGACCTCGTCTTGGTTAATAGGCAAATCGTGATTCTGTGCACATGAGTTATGATGTCTTGTCGATCTGGTTGTAATCCGGCGTCTACCATTGTGCACAAGTTTTTGTGTTGTGTGTTGCAGAAAGGCAAAATGAAAGAAAGGATAGGGTAATTAATGGTTGTGGTGATGTATGTTTTTCGAAATCCTTATAGTATCCATAATGCTATGGTTCAATTTTGCTTAATTGTCATAGTAATAGGGTTAATATTGAATGATTTGGAGAAATTTAAGAACAAATAAGCTATACTCGATATGCAATATTGTTTTACTTGTGTTTAAAATGATCTGTAAAATGAAATAACAGCAAAACCAGCACCCACTCCTCAAGCTGGACTTGGGGATAAGGAATCAACGAAAGCGAGGTCCATAAAGCAACTTGTTGAAGATGTCGAAGTTGGTCGAAACCTGACGAAGGGAAATGAAGCCTTCCTTGTATTTATCTCACATAATTAATGTAAGGCAATCAATATCAAGATGTTTGGTCCTCTCACGAAAGAAAGATTTGGCAGACGTGTATGACAACTTGATTGTCACAATAAAGAGAGATGGGTAAAGTTGGAACGATCTTGAATTGTGCAGTTGTAAGAGCCATTGAAGCTCATGAACAGTGTTGTTGAGATCTCGATAATCAGCCTCCAACAGTGGATTTAGAAACAGCGCACGGCCTTTTACTTTTCCAAGAGATTGATGAAGTGCCTAAGAAAATGCAGTAGTCTGCATGTGACATACTAGAATGATGAAGTGCCTAAGAAAATGCAGTAGTCTGCATGTGACATACCTTCTAGTATCGTTGCATGATGCCCAGTCAACATCTCTATAAGCTTGAAGAGCAAAACAAACTGGAAGATTAAAAAAGCCCCAGGCTGAAAGATCATGTTGATGTATTTAAAACGTGTAGTGCAATATCCCAATGTTTAGACCTAGGTCTTATACTTGTCAGGATTCTCAAAAAATATTTTGGGTTGGCTTGAGTGAAAGAACTTTTGGCAACGGAGTCGCAACAACTTCGCAAGAATCTAATGTGAGTTGTAAACTCGCGCTTCTGTCGAACAACACCAAACATACATGCTCTTAAACTAGGTGTCATTTCAGTGACTCATAATGAGTTTTAAAGAACTGCCTTATTAGGATTCTTATTTTGAAGATACATGACAATCTTTTGTGCATACGTCCATAAAATAGTCTTATTTAAACTAATCCTATGAATCTTGAGAGTTGGGCAGACCCAAAGACTTTCAAATTTAATCAAATATGAGAATTTTTGCTTGAATAAAGTAATCGAGAAGGGCCGATGATTTGAGCTAAGCCAAAGAATTAAGAAATATTGATTGATAAAGTAAGGAAATTCTACAGTCCCGTTACAAAACCATTCCGTCTGAGTTTGTAACCGTTAGATCAACTATCCACGACTGTTACATAATGATCTAACGGTTACAAATCTCGATGGAATGATTTCGTAACGGGACTGTAGCATTTTCTGATAAAGTAATCAAAGTCCAATAATTATTAGACATATGGTTAGCGCTCAAACACAATAAGAAAATATCGAGTTGTCCACAAAGACTTATAAATTCGGAAAATGCTACGGTTCCGTTACGGATCCATTTTGTCAGGATTTGTAACCTTTAGATCAGCTATTTCCGATGGTTACATGATGATATAACGGTTACAAACTCGGACGAAATGGTTCCGTAACAGAACCGTAAGATCTCCCTATTTTATTAATATTGGTATCTGGCTAGGCTCCGAACTTAGTCGGATGTGGAAATTCTTGTATGAATAAAGTAACCGCCGAAGGACCAAAGTCAGATATATATCGATTAAACATGTAATTGATCATATCAATCCTTTCATGAAAGAATCTTCCGACCATATAAATCAATCCTTCTTGTCTTTGTGTAATTGTGTTGGATGAAAGAAGGTTCAATTACCTGTACCAAAAAAAAAAAAAA